AAGCAATCTATAGATTCAACGCAATCCCTATCAAAGTTCCAACAACATTTTTTACAGAAATAGAACAAAGAATCTTAAAATTTATATGGAACAACAAAAGACCCGAATAGGCAAAGGATTCCTGAGAAAAAAGAACAAAGCTGGAGGTATCACACTCCCGGATGTCAAATTATACTACAAAGCCATAGTAACCGAAACAGCATGGTACTGGCACAAAAACAGACACAGAGATCAATGGAACAAAATTGAGAGCCCAGAAGTAAAACCACACGTTTATGGACAGCTAATATTCGACAAGGGAGCAAGAGCATATGATGGAGAAAGGAGAGTCTCTTCAATAAATGGTGTTGGGAAAACTGGACAGCCACATGCAAAAGAATGAAAGTAGACCATTCCCTTACACCATGCACAAAAATCAACTCAAAATGGATTAAAGACTTGAATATAAGACCCAAAACCATGAGACTTCTAGAAGAAAACATAGGCAGTACACTCTATGACACTGGTTTGAGCAGCATATTTTCAAATCCCATGTCTGACCAGGCAAGGGAAACAAAAGACAAAATGAACAAATGGGACTACATCAAACTAAAAAGTTTCTGCACAGCAAAGGAAACCATCAACAAAACGAAAAGACAACTTAACAATTGGGAGAAGATATTTGCAAACCATATATCAGATAAGGGGTTAATATCCAAAATATACAAAAAACTCATACAGTTCAACAACAAAAAAAACAACAATCCAATTAGAAAATGGGCAAAAGATCTCAACAGAGATTTCTCCAAAGAAGATATACAGATGGCCAACAGGCATATGAAAAGATGCTCAACATCATTAGCTATCAGGGAAATGCAAATCAAAACTACAATGAGGTATCACCTCACTCTGGTCAGAATGGCCATAATTAACAAGACAGGAAACAACAAATGTTGGAGAGGGTGTGGAGAGAAGGGAACCCTTGTTCACTGCTGGTGGCAGCGCAAACTGGTGCAGCCACTATGGAAAGCAGTTTGGAGTATCCTCAGAAAATTAAGGATAGATCTACCATATGATCCAGCTATTCCACTGCTGGGTATTTATCCAAAGAACTTGAAAACACGAAGGCATAAAGATACTTGCACCCCTATGTTCATTGTGGCTTTATAAACAATAGCCAAGACATGGAAGCAACCTAGGTGCCCATCAAGGGACGAATGGATAAAGAAGATGTGGTATCTATGCACAATGGACTACTACTCAGCCATAAGAAATGACGAAATCCGGCCATTTGTGACAATGTGGATGGACCTTGAGGGTATTATGCTGAGTGAAATAAGTCAGAGGGAGAAAGTCAAATACCATATGATCTCACTCATAAGTAGAAGATAAAAATGACAAAAAAAAAAAAAAACAAACACATAGCATTGGAGATTGGACTGGTGGTTACCATTGGGGAAGGGGGGAGGGGGGAGGGCAAAAGGGGTGATTAGGGTCACATGTGAGGGGATGGACTATAATTAGTGTTCGGGTGGTGAACATGATGTAATGTATACAGAATTCAAAATATGATGTACATCCGAAAAAAATAAAAATTAAAAAAAATAATAATAATTATTCACCACAATTCTTTTTCAAGGACTGCAAAGTGACAGGAAAGTTGCCAAGCACTGTAATTACAAGTCTCTGAACTACTTAGGATACAGAGGCAAGTAACAAAAATAAAACAATATGGTACACAGTAATAATGGATTGGCCATGGTACCAAAACTACAGGGAATACACTTCCCAGATAGAAAGAATACCCAGTTAGTTCAAGACAGACAGAGCTGAAGCACCCCTGAAACCAACCCATAAAGTAAATAGGCGATAGAGCATATTGAGAGGAAGCAAAGTTGTCGGAATTCAACTCACACAGTCTCAGTACTTAAAGATCGCATTTTGAACAACTGCATAAGTAGAGAATAAGATTCAGTAATAGAAGCCCTGGTGTAAAAAATGAGAGTCACCTCACACAACGTCATGGACAAATTACGGATACACAGAGGTGCTTCTAGAAAGAACCATAACAATTTCCTTCGCCAGATTATTAAGGAGGTTCTAGAGAATTAAACAGAACTCAATATAAAGTTTTTAGAGTTTTTCACAATTATGTTTGTGTGTTTATGTATATTATAGTAAAGGATACAATTCTAAGTGTAACTGTGCATCTATCCCCCTACACTGACTTCTCTCTTTATAAACTTATCCTTTACCCAAGGAAATGAAAAATAAAAACCCAACAATTTTAGATGATAGCAAAGAAATCCATGATTTTGATTTTAAGAATATCAGAAACTACCAGTAATGATTAAAATAGTTATTCACTCAAAAAAGGCTCAACACCACACAAATGACAGATTCCTGACTTCCCCAATGCAACCCACTTTATCTGTTTTTGGATGATCTGAAACCTGCCCAGGGCTAGAACTGTTTTTAGGCATCCAACTCTAGTTTCCGATTACTTCCTCCTTCCTGTGCCACTGAGAAGCAATTTATTGTTTTTGTTTTTCTCTTATTGCCCACCCTACAGCAGGCAGGTTCCATGCTCAGCAATGCTGACTGTCCCTGAGACACATGGAAGCAAAAATGCCCCTTAGGAACTTCCTAGATATTTTCAGCATATTCCCCAAATGCCCTTTCTTCTGCTTTACAAAGTACCTTTCTGGATTTAAATGAACCAATTTTATAAGAACAATAACCTTCCAAACGATATTTATTGCGATGTAAAACTACCCTTTCCAGAATACACAGACAGTCCCCTTTGAGCAACATAGAGTCATTAGTTGCAGATAGCAGGCATTCTTTCCATCCTTTAAACTCGAAAGCTTGTCATTTCATTACAATTTGAGAAATGATTCTACTATTTATCTGCCTCTTTTACTCAATAGGAAGTTATACAAAAGACTAACACATCACTTTTTACAAATAATATTCATCAAGAGTGACTATAATACATATAGTTACAGTTATTCTCAATTACTTATATTCCTGAATGTGCATTGCATATAATCACACATAACACATTTCTTTTTTCCATCACTCTTTTCTTCATATTTGAGCATATATATTTCTACAGGTAATGATTTGAATTCAGAAAGAATCATCAGAAGAAAATGAAAAGGTTATATAAATGTCACTGCCTCACTGAGAATTTTATATGCTCTTGCTGAACTGAACTCTGTGAACATCTGGAGTGGTTTTCTACTGTAAAGAGAAATAGGTCTATGCGTGAAACAGTTTTCCTGACAAAAGCTTCTTGACATACAAGAGGCTTGAAAACATGTGGAAAAGTCCTTCTCCTAATCACACATTTACACATGCATTGCTCTCAATTTTTCTTTTCTATAGAGTAGTGCTGGATCTTAATAAGAAAATTGATACAGCTCACTCCCCAATGAAAAGAACAGTTTTCATTGCCTTATACGTACTTTCAGAAATCAAAGCATGTCAATTAGAACCCAAACTCGTTTTTCTAGGCCATGTAATAGATTATAACATAGAAAAGAGGATGTGGGCATGGATTTTTGTTGTTGTCCTTATGGGTTACATAATAATAACATTGATGACCAAAAGGCCTACACATAAACTATCAAAAGTAGAACATTAAAAGTTATTTTATCAATACAGTTAAATTCTTATTTATTTATTTATTTTCTTTTGAGGAAGATTAGCCCTGAGTTAACATCTGCTGGCAATCCTCCTCTTTCTGCTGAAAAGAACTGGCCCTGAGCTAACATCCGTGCCCATCTTCCTCTACTTTATATGTGGGACGCCTGCCACAGCATGGCTTAACAAGCAGGGCATAGGTCCACACCCAGTATCCAAACCAGCGAACCCTGGGCCACCAAAGTGGAACATGCGAACTTAACTTCTGCACCATCGGGCCAGCCCTACAGTTGAATTCTTGTTTTATTAATTTATGTTTTGGTCTCTTTGTCTAGACTTTGAGATCATGAAGGCAACCCTGTGTCCTCCTCTTGTTTATATCTTCTCACAACATCTTTTTTTTCTTAAAAGACAATGTAATGTATCAAACGTTCTCTTTTTTTAAATAAGTAATATAATTGTTGGAGAAATTCTAGAAAATTCTAAAGAATGAGATCTCTCATAATCACACACCCAGTAATAGGATTTTTCTCACGATGCTTTACTTTTTTCTCTTTTATTGACTTTTAAAATATTTTTTTAAATTTTTTATTAAAGTTTATCTGTTTTTTAAATTCCTTATAAATTTTTAAAAATAAATGTTTTATCAAGAAAATTTAGAAAATACAGAACAGGATAAGGAAAAGAAAGCAATTACTCATAATCCCGCCACCCAGTGATAGCCTACATTTACTCCTATTTCCATGTCTATCCTTCGATGTAACTAAAGTAGGATAACATTTTATTGTACCGTATTATGCTTTTTCACATATCTTTTGATGACTAATTTACTAGTCATTACACTCTTTAAAGATATAAGTTTTAATATGTGCATAATTTTCCATCTTGTTTCTGTAGGAAATCATTTAATCTTTCCCTACTCAGATATTTAAGAAAATAAGGCAGTAGAAAACATCTCTGTTTAAATATTAACAAAATTTCTTACCAACTTAGCCAGCTTTATTTGTGAAACAAGGAAATAAAGGCTTATTGCTCTCAAAAAAATTTTTTTCTTGAATTGGGCTCATACATGTTAATTAAATTTGGATCTCTCTGTGTATTGCTTGCTCTGTTTTTCTAGAACCATGCTTGTGCCGAAAAATAAGCAAATAAAAAAGAATATTTAGGGATTTGAGGTAAGCATAGTCTTTTTCATTTTAGGTGAAAATTGACTTCCTAGTATAACTTTCTCAAACACAATTTTCTGCAATATTATGGTGATAAACAACATTTTATTTTAAGCAGTCGAATAAGAGCCATAACAAAACACATATTCAGCATGTTTAAAATTTTATTTTTCCCTGCCTAGGAAGGAAAATGTCAGAATTCTTTACCTGGGGATATGATATAGAAGAAATCTTTAAATTCATCCATCCAGACTTCTGCCAGTCTCCTGTTGTTCTTGTTGATGACATGGCCAGTGCCACCAGGGAACGTGTATGGAGTCGCCTTCCGAAAAACGTGACCAACATGGGAGCAAGTCACAATCTCCAGTGAGCCTCCACACTGCCAAATCTGGGAAAAAGAGCAACTGTTGTATAGCAATCCTGTAGGTAATGCAGTCATATTGCCCGAGAAGCAACTGAGGTTAACGAAGGCCAAATCTTCAGATCTTACATGGTTCAAGAAAACATCAAATGGATGCAAAATTTAGAACTAGCATACTCTAGGTTTGGCAAAGGATTCTAATTTGGAACAGCTTGATATATTCAAATATTGTAGCATTGGAATTATGCAAGTAAGATGTAATTATTTTCATATGCTCTTATTAGACTACCTAATTTTCAGTTTCTAATCTGTTATTTAATGGACGTTTGGTACCAAAATCTGCTATGAATGAAGGAATTTGTACCTGTTAAATGCCATGGTCAATAACTAAATTTGATATGGAGAAAAATCAACCTACTATACTCCATCCATCTGAAATTTTAAATGACCATTAATTCTCAGTTGTCCAATATCCCCTGTATCTTATGCCTTGGGATATGTTATCATTCATATTAAAATGTGCCGGAACTCCTTTACATCTGCTCAACATGTACACATCCTTCAAAGTCCGTCTCCAAGATCATTTCTTCTAGGGAGCTCTGTAGGGTGACTTAGTGTCGTGTGAATTTTGTACTTTAAACACGCTTTCATAAAGAACAAACTACACTGTTTTACAAGCCATTGTTTACTTCACTCTCTCTCCATTAAAACTATGAACTCTTGGAAAACATATACCATATATTTCTTGGTGTCCCAGATTCACTGTGAAGCTGAGGCTAGGTATTAAGTATTCATAAAACATTTATTTCTATACAATTATATTGTATAGCAATAGGTTATACTAATAGCATGTGTGTTATATATGTTACATATATATATAACATGTCATATATATGTTATACACAGGTACTATATACACATGTACTGTACACACTTATATATATATTTATTACATACATGTAATATACTACATATATGCTACAGGTTTTTTATCCCAATAAATAAAAGTCATAGTTATCACTACATGTAATTAGAAGGGCTTGGTTTTATACTACAACTAACATTGTTCTTATTTTAAGGAGAGTTGCTTATTTTGAAAGATAAAGTTTTCTCCAATTGATCCCTCAAGTAACATCCATCTTAGAAGAGGGCTGCTACTGGGCTTTGGTAGCAGTAAGAGACGTTCATTGTAACCAGAAGACGAAAGATGCTAAATAGCAAGTTATATTCATCAACAATGGTTTGTGTATTACATGTGCAATCTATTCTTTCTCATTTTCTAATTGTTTCAACAGTGCAATGCTAACAGAAAAGGGGTTCAAATCCAACACTGAAATGATGGAGCAATAAAAAAGAATGGAAATCACCATTCCCCCAAAAGATAGGATAATTCATTCTTTAATAATCAAAGTATTTAATTGATTGGTAACTTTCTCATCTTTCTAGCTTGAAATCTATAAACCTTCTTGTAATTACACACATCTTTACATTCTTCCTTCCTATTAAAGTGCAGGAAGTTGATCCTTCCCCTATCAAAGACAAATCAATACTTGTATGTCAGTCTAGGTCATACCCCTTAAGTCCGTCTTAAGGACTTCACTGGTTTGGTCCTCCTCTTTTCTCCTGAACCATCAATCATTTCCCTCATTACTAGATTATGTCTATCCTCACATAATATCTCCTATATTTCAAATCAATTAAAAAACCAGATAAACAAAAAAAGTTACAAAACACAACAAAAACTTGGTCCCTTTGGACCATCCGTTAGTCCATATTCCCATCCAACATATCTCATTTTTCTGTTTCCCTTTACTGCAAACTAACATAAAATTTTTATTGATATATGTTGTTTCCCTTCCTCAATTTTCATACATCTACTCATTATGAAATGCTGTTTATTTCTGCAACTCCCCCCAAATTGCCATGGTGAAAATCACAAATTTTTCCATTGATGAATATCTAGGAGACTCCTTTCTTGGATTCTCTTGCTTTCCTTCCTACTACTTTACTGTTTATACATTTTCATCCTAAATTTCTGTATAAATATTGGCCTTCATCTTTCTTTCTTCATTCTCTAGGTGGTCTTATTTGTTCTTATTACTTTACATATGGTCTGAATCTCACAGCCTCAACGGTGATGTCTCAGCCCAGACTTCTCCTCTGGGATCCAGACTTGTGTATCCAAACATCTACTTGATACCACCTCTTGCATGTCTCAGAGACATCCAAATAAACATGTCTGAAGTAGACTTGTTGATTCATTCCAATCTTGTCAGCCAGGTCTTATTTTCTTTTATTTCAGTCTTTTTTAAAAATTAACAATAAATGGTGCCACCATTCACCCAGGTGGTCAATCCTAAAAAACAAAAGCAAAAACAAAAATCCCCCCCAAAACCGTAGAAGTCATCAATGATTTCCCCTCTTCTTTCATCACTTATGTTCACTCTAGTACAAATCCTGGTGGTCTTATCTATAATATAATTCTCAGTATATCCATCTCTCTCCGTCTCCACTGCTACCATCCTTGTCCTAATCACTGATATCTCTTGTCTGTCAATTGCAATACTCTTAATTGTCTTGCTGCTTTCACTGTTGCTCTCCTATAATTTGTTTTGTACTGAGAAATCAGAGTGGTCTTTTTAAAAATTAATCATTTCATTTTACTTCACTGCTTAAATCCTTCAGTGGTTTCCCATCGCACTGTGAATATAAACAAAATCCTTCAGCAGGGCCTCTAAGACCCTACATGATTCTCTTTGTCAATAAACACTGGTGATATTGGCCCTCTGCCATTTCCTAAAATAACAGTTCTCATACTCTCTTTCACACACCAAAGTCTCAACACATGCTTTCCCTATACCTAGAATACAATTCTGTTTGCCCTTCACCTGACTGCCTCTTTCCCATACTTCTCATCTCAGCTAAAACACCACCCATGAGAGAGAGCTTTCCAAATGCCATATTTAAAGTGCCCCATCCTAGTTATTTTCTTTAATAGCACCCTGTTTATTTACTTCCTTGCTTATCACAATTTGCAATTTACTTATTTGTTTAGCTATGCACTTTTTTCCTCAACTAGAATGTAGATTCTAAAAGGGCATGGGAGGTGTCTAGTCATTGCTAAACTCCAAGAGCCAAGCCCAGTGCTTGTGACATAGTGTCATGTATGTTGGTTGAATGAAAGAATGGACAACTCAAAATCAACTACCAAGATTATCATAAAACAAGGCATCCTTAGCAGAATGATGAGATTTAAATTGGACATATTTGGGGGGATTTTAAATTGCATTTTATAAGAAAATATTTTCAGTATTAACCTAGGCAGAGTAGTCTAGTAAAATGATATGCGACTGCTGTTCCACATGCCTTGGGAATTGTGGAAGTTCTTTGAAGGTCACAACACAACAAATAAACATTAGGAATGGTCGATGGTTTATGACAAACAAGGTTGCCAAATGATACGATCTTAATTTTTAACGTGTTCTCAAGGTAACCATTTAGCCAAACTCACACTATCTCTCTTACAAACATGATTCAGTAAAGTATTCAGGTATTTGTACTGTGACCAGGCCATTGGCAGGGTACCCAAAATTCAGAAGAAATATCATTTGACATGTTATACTTGAGAGGGAATTGAAGATCTTCTCTTTATTATACAGAATGCAGTGTTAGTGGTAGAGCTTTCCCTCCTCTTCTATGGATGAGGCATGAATGAAGAGCTTCTTTCTTCCCTCATCCAAGCCATATAGGGGAAGGAATAAATGAAGGAGAGACTAGCATTTCATTCTCTGCTAAATACTTGCTGAGCAGTAAAATCAGCAGAGTGTCGTGGTGCTGCCATCAGAACATAACAGAATGTGGTGAGTGAGTTTGAGGAAAGCTTCACGTGTGGGGAAGAACATGACCCTAGTAAAATGGGGACCACTTCTGGGCTAAAGAATCTTGAAGGTGGGTTGAGGTTTATTGAATAGCTTGTTCCAGCAGAATTTACAGGTCTAGTGATGCAGTGACCCTGGGAGGAAGTGGTCTTTGGGGACAACTGAACAAGACTTCAGTGGTCTTCCAAACTCTATAAAGCATGGAATAGAGAGGAGAAAAAATGAGCTGTGGCACTAGCAATATGGCAGCTCAGCAATGAGATATACCATTAAGAAAGACAGTTGGAGACCTTACAGGGTAAGAGAGAGAAACTAAGATTTCTGCCTACAAAAGGCCCTCGGGTGACAGCAGGGATAGGAGGTGGAGCTGAGAACACTTTTAAGAAAACAATGAAACTGTGTATAGAAGACCATCATATGGATGGAGGCCACTAGTAGCATGTGGAACCATATTGAGCCAACAACAGGTAGCCATCATAAAACGTGATATCAGATAAGACCTGCCATTTCTTTAGCCCTCCTATTTGACTCTATACACTGGGGGAGTAGCAGCCCAGAAAACCCTGCCCTTTCCCATTCTAAGAGCTTCTATCAGCATGGGCCTAAAGAGAGAACCGAATGTGAGCTATGTATTGCTTATGAAATCAAAGCTTTAAACTGAACATTTCTAGCATTTTTAACAACTGAAAGTGACCAGAAAGTTATAGAATCTATCCTAAATCACATCAGAACTGGAAAGGAATATTCTTCAGAACATGAAGCAATGATTGGAGAAAAAAAATCAAACCATTTTAAGTTTGTACCCCACTAAATTCACTATATGATAAGCCCTATTGCATATAAACCAGTAATTGACAGTTGTCCTCAGGGTTCCCAAATTTGCCTCCTTGAAAATGTGGATTAGCACTGTGGTTGTGTAAGTGAGGGCACTTTACTTCTCCTCTGCCGCTTCTTGGCCATACCCTGGTTTGTAAGCTTATGGGTTCTATGCTCTGAACATGGACACAGAAAAGAGAACAATATCTACTGTGAAATCATTTAAAAGCAGGGTTGCAATGGTCTTTTCTTTCACTCCTTTCCCTGCTAATATGCAAAGGTGAGAATATATGAAAATGGATATATGAAAGTGCTGATTTTTGGTTGTCCTCC